GATTAGAGACATAGTCCGCGATAGACAAGTGGGCGGAGACTGGTAATTGTACTCGCATGTGGCTTCGGCTTCAACGAACCCGAAATCACACGGGAGATATACCGTTGTATAGTTGGCGTACCTTCCTGAATCTGTCGCTTGAATTGTCAGTCTATACTCGTTGATCACCTCCCGATCCACCGCTTTGGAGACTCGGATATCCCCAGTGCCTTTATCGATCGAAAATGGACTGTTTTCCTGCAGCGAGTACCTGAAGTATGGCTTTTGTGGTGGTCGTGACGATAAACTGGGACAAAGAACGGGGCGCGGAACGAACCTAATAACCGCATTCTGTCCCTGGTCCTTGTCGCGAGCTCTAATTTGTAAGACCTTTTGACCGATTTTGGTGTTCTCACGCACATGAACGGAATAATACGGCTGATCGAAAACCGGTTCGTTGTCATTGTCATCGATTACTGTGATCTGAAGTAATTACTGTAGTTACTGCAGTTAGTAATTAGAACGGCTAGAGAAGAATAGTCAATAGGAACGCCTACCTTGATGTCGGCTGTGGAAGAGAGTCTCGGTAGTCCGGAATCGATTGCTTGTACGGTTAGGAAGTGTTCTGCGCAGTCCTCGCGATCCAGTGGACCAAGTACAAGGAGTTCCCCTAAAGTCTTTAGTTTACTAGAGGAAACCGCAGGAGGAAACTGATCTCTCGTTTTTCTCTGATCAGAGGGGTTACTAGGGCATATCGAATTCCCTGCTAAAACAATGCCCCCCGCGCAACCGCCTCCCTTAGGGCAGCCCCTTAGGTTGAGGAATTCTCCACAAGAAGTGACCCGAGGGAGAATTCTAAGGGGTTAATCCCGAAAGTTCTTCCAAATGCCCAGTCCCTTCCCCTCCCCTCAGGTAGTCGAAGAACTGCGGCTCAAAAATAGATTTTGTAAAAGTTGAGAGCGCGTACCGGACGCTGAATTGATTGAGAAGAGTGTAGCATTCCCTTTGATAATGCTGTAAGCTATAAGTCCGTTTTCGCCATCATCCAAGTCCTGAAATAAAAATTTAATACCTTTTTGTAGCGAAAATGGGGCCCGTTCATACTTCGCGACTCCAACGAGTCGCATTACTTGGAATTATCCAAGTGACTCCACACTTTTGATCATCGTAGACTGTGCCTTTAGGTTTCTCGGACCATGATTTTATTCTCTTCTCACCTCAGATATTGTGCTGCCGATCACTGCAGGAAAAGGTCCTGGCAAATTTTCATAGACAGAAAATTGCACTGGAGTTCCACCGATAAATCGTGGACGTTCGTCGTTGCTATCTTTCACGTGGACGAGAACAGACCTAAAATTCGTACATGTCGATGGAACTAGTGCACTGTCGGAGGCGATAGAAACCCTTTGCCCCCTCCATCTCACAAAACAATCTACTGCTCGACCATCTGGCCCGAGCGCCCAGCTCAGCGCGACCCTACGCGCAGAGACGACCGCACCATAACTTGACCCCGTCCTTACCTGTAACTCGTCGGTCCTCCAGCGATATTCCGTGCGGATACGGTAATATTGTACAGAGGCCGGTATTCGAAGTCTAGTGGTGAGCTCACATAGAGCTCTCCACTCATCGGGGTGACGTCAAACACACCGTATCCGTCTTCAACTGCGAAAACGCTTGCTGCATTTTCTACCTGAAAATTGAAATTGCCTGAACAGAGCTCAGAAAATTTTTTTCTCTATCAACCGTACATTCCACGATAAACGGATGGCGGAGAAATAGGCGATGACTCATAACTAATGGGCTTTCCTTATTGGCCCACCGCTTCTCTTCTCCATCTTTGGAAAAGGGACGCGCCAATGAGTGGTTGCACAAGGGTTGTGAGTCTCCACCTATCCGGCTATCGTGGAATGTGATTTCAAATGTCTTGATAGAGGAATTCTCCAAGGAAACGAGGAAATAATGGCAAAGTGTAACTAACACAATCTGCGTCATCAACCTCGAATCGAAGAATAGACGTGCCACGAGCTGCTACCTAAACAGTGGTTATAATCAGCAGCGTCAGATTTAGAAATATTTAGCTACTGTTACTTCCAGATGGCTCAGAAAAACCATTGCTCATGAATTTCCTGGGAACCAAGTCCTCACCTTCCGTACTTCTCGTGGTATTTTCCCTCAAACACGTCCTAAACCAGACCGCTTCCTGCCGCTGGGGTGAGGGAGGGGAATATCTGTCAAAGACGACCCCTTCCACCCTCTAAAATCCCTTCTACAACCCTCCTTTTGGTATATTTGTAAGAAACGATCTTCCTAAACTATCGAAAATACCGTCTACAAATCACAACCCCTCCCCTTTCCTATTCGTAAAACTAGCCTAAATACTCCCTTTTCCACAAATATTCTAGTTTTTTTTTCACCATTCAGTGAGGCTGGGTTTGCCGCCAATAGCTCTTCTTTCAGTTGTGGAGCTTGGGTGTTGTTCGCTTGCTCGTATCACAGCTCTCAGCGAAATGGAGTGGCATGTCAAAACTCGCCTTCTGGTACGCCCCAATCAACCGCAGCACTGACCTTTGAATTTTAACTTTTTTGTTGCACCTTCAGTCGCGACCAAATGTAACTTTTTGCATTCTCCTTTTTGGAAATCTGAATTATTAATTCTTTTCTTCCTTTTCGTAATTTTTCTAGTCACTGCTTTACGGTTCATACCCTGACGTGTAAGTAGTTCATTTGACTAACTCCCCACTGACGGTGACTATACTAACTCTACCTCATCATTTCAATTGAAGTTGGCTGTTTCGCAGGACAGCGTGCATGGTCATTAAGCTCAGCAATGAACCTGATTGACTTGCTGCACGGACTGCAGTTGTGGTATACCGTAATCCATGGCAGCTACATAGTAAATGTGTAGTTGCGTACTTTCTCGAAATCTAGCGGTTTATTGACCTGAAAATAGTTCACTTTGACCAATATTTAGCACAGATCTCACCAATGACAAATGAGTAGGCGCAACCCGACTGGGCAAAATGAAAATCGGAAACCGGAACAGCTTCGGTTTCCCGTCAACAAAATACCCCAGCAGTTTCTCGTATTTCTGCCTCTTTACGAGCGGTTCTTCGAGAGAAGAAGACTTTGAAAGGGACAGGGAGCTTTTGCCCTTTAACCACTCACCATTAAATCTCCACGGACTGCGTCGATGATAAACTCAGCTCGTGGTAGTGATTCCGGGATTATGCGATAGTGTACCGGCAGCGTTTTGGCCTTCGTCTGGATCGATAGCTTTGATTCTTCCTGCAAAGTCATGGGTTACTAGTACACTTCAAAATCTCTGGTGTCTAATCTCGATCTCACAGCATAATAATCAATACTGGCTAGTTTGACTAATCTAGCGAATGCACTGTTTGCTGAAAGTGCATTCTGCGATGGTTGTATGAGCGGAAACTACAAACCATTGCGCCTTCCTCACATATGCGCTCCTGCCCTAATACAGTAAGAGAGGGGTGTTGTAAGGAAAAAGGTGCGATCACTTGCTTGTAGCAGTCAACTTGTGGCTTCTGAAGGGAAATTTGCTCGGATAACCAGTGGCTAGATCCTCGTCTTTGGGCTAGAAGTGCGGATCACAATCTCTGGAGTTGCTCCGATTTCTAGGTTCTACCGTACATTCAAGTCCAACGGTTTTGTCCACTCTTTTCTTCACATAAAGACGATTTCCGCGATCAAGTTTTATGGATAGTAGGTTTAGTCACGACTCAGTATATGATAAGTGACCTCCAGTGAAGGAAGATACAAAAAGAAATTCGGTTGAATCATAGATGAAACTGACAGTACAAACCTCAGTACGGGTTCCACTGCTTTCGTCTACGACGCTGCACGAAATACGTGCAGAAATAGCGTGTAGGTCGTTATCAGCGTAGTTTAAAACCTTAAAGGGTGAAAGGTCACGCGCTTCTCAGTACTTCATCTCGCTGGTTCGTGTATCGAAAGCGGTATACTGCTTGTGCGAACCTGTTTAGTTACCATATGCACGGAGCATTTCATGTCAGCACCGCCGGAGACTGGTCTTCAATCCAACTTTCATCAATGGAGTCCTATTAGGAGCCCCAAAATCACCCTTTGTCAGTGTGAATGTGTCTTGAATTTAAAAGCAAAATTACCAATTACTTTCATTCGTGACGTTTTCTTCACAAGAATTCCGTGGATGATTCAAACCACGCGATCAGATTGTTCGTTGAACGTTCATGTTACTGTTCACGAACACAAGCGCATTCGATTGTGTGGTATGAATAATGGATGAGTGGGAGCTGAGAGCCCTTGCGCTAGCCTCATTCATCTCAGTGCTTGCCGTTGATTTCATTCCGGAAGGAGCCACGTATTCGAGTTCGAACTGGCAGATTTGTAAGATCTTTGAAGGAATCTAGACTTACGAGAATGGATAAGAAGAAAAGTGAGATCAGTAGGTGTGCTCAAGTGGCCGCTCTTCATAGATCTGCTTCTTATTTCAATTTTCTGAGAGAGAGGAGAGTAACGACAATTATTATGACCTGACCCCGCCCTTTGGGGTGGCTTCATTTGCACTGGGGCCGACGCGCGGGGACTGCTTCATTTAGTAAGGAAGATAAGCTCAGCTCCAAGGATTGGAGCAATGCGTCATCAGTCGATAAACAGGCGATTGTTGGCATCGCTTCGATCCAGTTGACCAGCAATCTGAAATCAGCTCCACAGTAATCACTATTGTAGCTCAACAATAATGACAAAGCTCAATAACAACAAAAATAATGTGAAATTATACCATAAGTCTTCCTTCGGTGTCCACTTCAAACTTGCCTAGTTCGTTGCCTTCACTTATCGACAGATGGAAAGCGTTGTCTGCAACATTATGTCTTTTTTAAACTGGTACGCAGCGAAAAAAATTTTTTGGCTGCCATCTGGATTGTTTCAAAGACACAATCCGGCTGAATCGTGATGGCGGAGTTGGGCGCAGGAGTAACCAGTGCCATCAATTATGCTGAGTTGGTGCGCCGCACTTTAGTGCTCTATCATTTGCTCGTCTATACTATGTTGCTGTATGGATAGCAGAAGCGCACATAAGGTCTGACTCCGCCCATATGATTGCGTGTGGTAATGCTCTATCTAGAGTAATATCTCTTACTAAAATCTGGCTCCGTCCATTTTTAGTCGCAGGATTTCAGGGCCAATTTTGCGTATCTTCTGCGATGTCGATGGTTTAGATTTCATTGGAAAATGGTCGATGTTGTATTTCTGTCATCGATCACCAAGATAGCTTCTTGTTCAACGTACTCTCCCGATTGGAATGTCGATTTCAACTTGAAACTATGCAGCTGTCTCTGAAAATAGGCTAATCTTACAGCTATCCTCCAAGAATTGTATGAAATATTCCGCTTGGGGCAAAAGTTGCGCGAACTGAAGGGGTATTTGACAGCTTGTTTACTTCTATCGACATCGAAGCCGCTTCTTGAGTTACAAGAGCTGATAGGTTTTTTTGCATGGGGACGAGCTCGCTCTAGTTTTCACAAGTTGCTCAAAGGTTTCATCAGAGTGAATTGTTAGTGAAGCAGCGAATGTGCAAAATGTCCCCCGTCGCCGAACTGCTCCATTCAGCTTTATTATCTCTAATACCGACCTCTTCATGATCGAAAATGGTAGCTGTCGTGATCATACCGGTTTTGTGATCAATTGATAACCCAATGTCGCCGGCGATTGAGTATGTGGCTGGACCTGCAAATGTGAACATTGGTCCATTCAGCACTGTGTCCTCCACCGGAACTGGACAGCCATTTGTCAAGCTGAGACCACTTGTGGCAGATCTTCGTGCAAAATAACCCGATTTCCATCACCTTTGGTCATGGTGAACATGTTCATGGATGGGTTTAAGATAGAAGACAGAGTAAAAGGAATTCCTACCTCTTGTGGAAATCGGTGCTCGTCCAACTACACTCCCATATGGGGCATTTTCACGAATCCAGTATTCCAGACGACTGTGCTCTTGATGAGTTACATTATGTGTGGATCGGAGTATGTAAATCTGAAATGTCGTTCAGTTATTGTTTCTTCATGACTATTGCATTACTCATGGAATCTCAGGGATATTTGGTTTACACAAAAACTTGCAAGGTTCCCCATCACTCGAAGGCACAGTTCATGCTGATGCAATGGGCGGAGCCAGGCCCATCAGTCTGCCTTGCTCATTTGTTCGCATTTTCGTTCCAATTAGACAGAGGAATAGATTATTACGTCGTCAATCCCGGACGGAAAAGCTTCGGAAGGAAAAGAGGGAAGAAGTAGGACTGCGCTAGTAAGAAGGGTACATTAGGCCCCATTCTGCCCTTACAGCGCCTTCAACCCAGAATGGTAGAAGGCCTACTTTGCTTGGCCCTGTGGTATATTGTCCGTAGAAGGCCAAGCGAAGCTTCCTCGCTTCTGATCACCTGGGCTACTCTGCTCAGGAAAAAGTGGCCAGACGTCCCCCCCCCTACTTCTTCATGATTCTCTAAACATTTAATGCTCTGGCATGTTACATATTCTTCAATGGCTCATAATATTGTGAGTACCAGCTGCCGTTACCAGCATACATGGTACAGCACCGTGTGTGAACAAATTAAGGGGGGGGGTTAGACTTTTCTGCTGGGTGAAGGGGGACGGTGGTCGTTTTGGAAGAGAGGGATCGTTATGTGCCTTTGAGAGTAATATTGCTGCGCGTTTGTGAAAAAAATTTCTCAAGTTGTGCTCGCTCTCGCGTGATTCTTCCCTGTTGCATTGGTGTACTGTATACCCTCCCCCCGGCTGCCTGCCCCCCCTCCTTTGTCCTTGCCCCGACGGAAAATCTTGGGTGAAAATGCTTGGAAAATGTGGGGTAGGATAATTGGTAGGTAGGTGTTGGGGAGGGGGAGGGGGCGAGAGGTGTACCGAACAACACCATTACACACTGCACGTGGCATCCTCTGACTCGCTCTAGCTGCATTCACACCGTGCTATCGGCACATACGCACGATGCGCTTCGTGTTCAGAGGGATAGGCTTTTTCTCTGAAAATTATGAAGCTTGGGCCGAGTCTGGTACCAGGCCAGTCATCGTAAACAACTCGGAAAACTGCAAGCTTTTCCAAAACTGTGAAGTCTCAAACGAATCCGCACCTCCTAGAACTAAATTTGCACCTCCTAGGACTAAGCGTTGCCAACGCTGTTGAATTCAGTTAATGCACATTCCGCTCTGATTCTATGGGAGGAGTCGCTTCTAGCACTGCGTCTTTCCCAATGGTGCTTCTTCCTATGCGTTGATAAATTGGAAGGGCGTACCATTGGGGAACGAGCACTTGTCCAAGAGACCCTACCCATATAATATACGTGGGTTGCTTCCATGATAAGTTACAAGGGGTGAAGGAAAACGGTGAACTTACCGTTACAGTTGAAGAAAGTTTTCCCTTGCGTATCGTGGCTGAGCAGTTGTAATACTGCCTCTGGAATAATAATATTAACACGAATTTTCCAACATTTTTCTATACCGTCTTGTTCGGTGCGGACGATGGGCGTGTCAGGGGAGGGGCTGGGTTGGAGTGACGCCTGTGGGTTTCTCATCAAGTGTAGTCGTCTGCCGGATTCCGCAAAGGGTGGAGGAAAGGCACCACGCCAAAGTCAGCTTGCCTGACACGCCTTATCATCCGCAGCGAACAAGGACTGCAATCAACGTAATTAAGGTTGAGCCTGCTAGAGATGACTTTCGGCCCCAGAGGGGATTGAAAAAAGAAAGGAAAATCAACTCACGTCACCCAAATCCAATCGCTTTTTCAACAGTAATTCCTTTCCGCGACTATACACGTAGGGGTCCAACAATTCCACCGTAACGTCATCTCGACCAAGATCGATTCTACCCAGTGGCTGCCCGGCTGACAGCGATCGGGGGACGAAAAGGAACGAGTCTTTTGGTAGTACTAGTGAGTCTTCAATGACTTCGATGTTCACCTAGACACAAGAAAATTAGAAGCTGACACCATGATTAGGCTTAAAATGACGGTCCACGCTAATTTTTTGGGCGGGCACAGTCAACACCATTAGGCCTTCCTCGTTGGCGCGTTCCTTCTTCCTGGAGTCCTGGGAGCCGTCATGACGCTGTTCGGCTTCAGGGGGGGGGGGGGGGCATTTTGTATCTCCGCCGTTCCCTTTTGTTAGTCATATTAACTAACAGGTTTTACCTTGGAGCGATCTGTAAGCTATGTAACTACCAAGAAGTACAAGTGAGCCACTGTAGAAACAAGAACTTACAGGTCCACACAAAGATGGCCTAAACAAGCGTTGCTGAATACTATTTGGTGCCCCCATCAAGCCAAACGGCGCCGAAGTGACCCGGAGGTCACCACAGTGGATCGTCTCCGCCCATGTGATGAGTGTGGACTGGGTCTTTAAAAAAGTAACATACCTTTATGGTGGCGATTCCTGTCTTCGACACAGCAACAATAGTCGTCTGTTCATCTCTGACACTTTTTCTTCTTGTCGACACAACTCCGCTGTCCTCATCGATCTGTATTGAGGATGACCCGGCTACATAGTATTTCAAGGGGGTTATCGATTCGGCTGTGATCCTTCCCAGAGTCGTGCCAATCGGTTGGGATGATGCCACGAGCATGGAGATTTCCTTGGATGGGAAAGCAATGCCATGATCGACAGCTGTTCCTCGGATGAGTCGCACTGTGAACGTCTTTGATCGCCGATTCGTGGAACTGGAAGTGATTTTTATGGTTCTCTCTATTTGTTTGTTTATTACTCTGTTCCTCTGTTTATTTATTTCATTTATTCATGCATCCATAAGGTGCTTATCTTAACCTTCTCTAGCCAAAGGCCGTACCTTATAATAAAAGGGGTACGTTTAGATTAGCTACTAGGAATGTGCACGCTTGGGAACGGCCATATACACTCCTTATCCCTGAGCCAGAGTAGGCGTGGCATTTGAACATGGCACGGAACTGGTTACTCGTGGAATATTCCAGTCTGGGACAACTGTTCTTGTTCTGTGTTGGACAGAGACACGACAACAATTGTGTCAAGATGGAAATATTCCACCAGAAGCATAGACACCTTCAGGTTAAGTTGAAGAATGCAGCCCCGCCTACCCGATCTCAGGGATCTCGAGTATACGTACAGTCTTGTTCGCTGCGGAATGAAGGCGCGTCAAGGAGAGTGGGTTTGGCGCGCGTTTTCCACCAGTCTTCTGCCAGCCTTCACAATTGTGGAGGAAGGGCTGGCACCGCCCAAAATAGGCCCTCCTAAAACGCCCCAGCATCCGCAGCGAACATGACTGTGCTGCGAATTGCCCATTCGGCCCTGTTTTTCCACTACAGTTGGCGGAGAACGGGCTGGCGCCGCGCAGTACCCACCCCTGCACCTTCCTGTCACTACGGGGCGACTTCAGGATGCATCTACGGTATCCAGGGGATCTGTCCGTGACAAAGCTTAGGCAGAAGTGTACGCTTGATCGGTATTGCTCTCCAATAGGGCCACTTTCGACTACTGCTGACGCGCAGTCGTGGGCTATCGCAAATCAAACTGACCGCGAAGATGTGGTATGCAAATCAAACGACCATGCCAAAATTCTAGAAAAGGACCACTTTAATTTCGCGGACTTTTCTGACGCCAGGCGCACGTGCCAGATTTTCGCATTCTTCTTGGGATGGACATCCAGGAAACAAAACGATAGATGAAGCACAGAACCGAATCGAAAGTGAGTGATTATTTGGGGCGTGTCGCGAGGAGCGCCTGGGACTTAATTCTATCAATGGGCTTTTCGGCGGAAAAACGACTTTCTGCCCGTCTGGGCACCTCTTTTCCTTCTCACTATGCCAGTTTTCATATAGGCCCAAGCGAACTGTTGTGAACACTGCACTCTCGAATAGGCGAACGTGTGGGGCGGATAGACGGAAGCCCCAATCCAGCTTCTGCGCCCTTACCTTATCACAAGGAAGGGCACACCAACAAAAGACACTTCGAGGGGCTGTCTTCGCCCATTTCTACACTTATCCGTTTGTTCTGCTTGGTCCTTTGAAAAGCGATATCCGAAAAAGCGTTTAGCAAGCTAATGCGAGAGGACCATGCTCTTATTGGTCCGGGAAGCGCAAAACCCCCTTCCCCACGGCCCTACCCACGCTGAAAATTCGCGAAAAAAATTCCAGTTTCTGTTTTGTTATTTTTGATGAATCGTGGTCGAACAAAAGAAAAGAAATGACAGTTCAGTAGTGAAAAACCCACTTTTCTCCTTCAATGACGTCAACAGCAACTGAAGTCGTCGTTCCATTCATAGAAGACACAGACAGGAGTCCGTCTTCCGAAATTTTCATCTTTGTTGAGGTCGTCCGATACTTTAACCTGACTGTCTCCTGAGAGTCTGGGTCCTTACAACGGATGTTTGTTGAGAAGGGCAACGCATCGACCACGAAAGTAGTAGCGTCGCATTCGGGATCGTTGTCATTGACGCCGGTTACTTCAATGGTAATCAGTTGTGAAGTCCTGAAAATTATAACTAGTTTATGACATTCGACTCAAGGTAAATGTTATCCTTGGGTATTGGTACCAAGTACTGGGAGGCAGGGCACATCAAGCATCGTATTTTGCCGCCAGGAGAGGAGGGTCCGTTTTAGGCTGAGAAATAATTCTATTTGCATAGTGTAATTTTCACGTTTCACAGATATTGCTTAAAAAAAAGGGTGGCGTCGTTACTTACTCATTGGTGGGAGGGATGGAGGGGGGGGGGTATTTACTTTCTGGCCTTTTCTTAGCAGTGTGGTTGACTTCGTCGTGACTATCCCCTTTCACTTGTGCTAGTTACCCCTCCCCCCCCTCCGCTCGACGGCGTCGATTCTGATGAAGAGGACAAAGCGCCGCGAGAGGGAGGGCGTACAACCCCCAAAAAGAAGGGGAGGGGTCGTATTCGTGACTGCTGTCCGCCATCGTCTTCCTCCCCTGCACCTCCAACATTTGAACTCAAACGCCTGTGCATTCATTATGTGGCCACTAACAAGGAGCGCTGTTCGGCTTGGTGGGGGGGGGGAATATTGTGCCTTTTCTAGTTCCTTTTATTATTCATGTTAACCAACAACAGGTCCAGGTCTCATTGTGGTGGCCTGTAAACTCTTGTGAAGCAGTGGTGAAATGGTACAGTGAGCCACGTTGGTTACAAGAAGTTGCAGGTCTTGGCGAGGTGGCCTGTGCAGGCTTCGCGCTGCCCCCACCAAATCTAACTGCGACAAAAATGGTAGCATTGAGAGCTCACAACGCTAAGTCGCGTTCGGCATCTGCTTGGTGACTCCCGATGCTCATAATCAATATACTTAGTATTCCAATATTATACCTTTTGTTACCAACGAGTACATGATAGTTAGAAGAGTTCTCGTAGTCCAAGGGTTTGGATAGAACGAGTTTCCCATCAGATATTTTGAAAGCAGATGTTGATGGAACCACCAGCAAGATATCTTGGTCTTCGCCTATCTCTGTGATCGTCTCGGGAGCAGAATTCTCCTGAAAAGGGAGGACATCGTCATCGGGGTCCAAAGACCTT